CCCAAGGGCCACACCCCTTTAGCCCACTCTCTATATTATAAAGAGAGTAAAACTCTCATTTCCCACCAATGTGGGACTTTGAGTTTTTTCACAAAATTCACACACTACACACTTGTTGTTCCAACAGTTTTTCTTTTGTGGGGATGGCATCATAAGAAAGTTTCCATATGAACATGCTCCATTTGGGCGGAATGCGAAGTCTCCAAATGATTTTGAAGAATTTAGCATTTTGTTTAATAAAATCTTGATCTAGAGAATTAGCCTTTTGTGAAAGGAAAGCATACCCGGTTTTCACCGAATACTTTCCCGATGGATGAAGTGGCCAGAACATGAAATCGTCTTCTCTTTTCTTTGGAAGCTCCATTCCTAGAATCTGTTGTGCACTGTTTGTTAGGAAGATATGATAGAATATTTGCAATATCTTATAGTTAGGCAAGATATAATTCCTAGCTATATTTATGTTATTATCTTATGCTAGGATAATTTAGTTTCCTAGTTTAAGTTTATCTTCCTCGGAGCTCAAGGGAACTCTTGTATAAATATTGACCTTGATTAATGAGAAACGGAGGCCATTGAATCATAATATTATCATGGTATCGGAGCTAAGGTTCCTTCAATAATAAAATTAATTTTTTTTTTCGACCACCATGGCCGACACACCACCGCCACGCCGCCTACTAAAATCGAGCCTAATTCTCCCTATTACCTTGGACCTCAAATTTTTCCCTTACAAGAGGTGCGTTCCACGACGATGAAGATTGGATAATAAAGTCGTTAACCTTCAATGATGGGTTTTTTTAGTGTTGAAATAATTGGATGATTATATGTATAAATAATGACCTTACTAATCAATAAAATTTACTATATGTTGGATTTGGTTCCGATTTATTTATTTATTTAATTATTTTTTTTCCGGGATTGTTTAGAGAGCCACAAGGATGGGGGATGAAAATTCCCAAGATCATCTGGAACCGGGAGGGGAGTTCTAACCACTCTAGTCTTTCCCACTCTCATTTCGAGTGATAAAAATATAAATGTAGATGAAAAGATTTTTAAGGAATAGAGGGAGTATATATACAGGAAATACTTAAAAATTGATCTTTAATTACTATGGTAAACAAGCTTACTAAACTAATACTATAAAGAGAGTGAAATACTACCTCCGTTAACTATTATTTGCAACATATATCTCACAAATAATACCCCTTTGTTGCAAATAATAGTTAACGGAGGTAGTAAAAGAAATGTGGCGTTTAAATATATTATTCCCTTAATGATATCTACGGAAAATATATCACACAAATATTTTCCGTATTTTTCGATATCTCATGTATCTAACAGCCTCTCATATCGCACATGTGATGTTAATACGCAACTACACACTATCAAGAAATATTATTGGTTTTTACTCGGTGAAAATAGTATAGTGCATCCGGGTGTACCATGCACCTGGAAAGAACATTAGAAATATTTTAAAGAACATGGCAAAAAAAAAAAAAAAAACATGCTAGTGTTTGAAAAAGAACACACTTGTATCTGACAAAAGAACATGTTTGTTTTTGACAAGAACATGATACATTATAAAGAACATAAATTCTTTATAAAAAAAACATGTTATTTTTCATGGTTACTTGAGTGGTTGAACGTGTTTGAAAAATAACATAATATTTGACAAAAAAGAACATGTTTATGTTTAATTTGATAAAGATAGAGGTGATCATTGGACAGGATGGGCCAAGGTTAAAAAAATCAGCTCAATTCTTGAGTCGGGCCAAGTTTTGGGCCAAAATTTTTGTGCCCAAACCCGCCCAAAATAGTCCGGTCGTGCGGGCTTTTCTGGTCAAGTAAAAAAAATCAACTAAAATGCATAAAAACGTATTCCGAAACCTGCCCAAAGATTAAATTTACGGGCTGGATCCAACCCGATTTGGGGTCGAAAAAATTCTGCCCAAAATCCGTCCAAAATCGGGCGGGGCCGATCTAAATTTGATCACCTCTAGCCAAAGAACATGTTTTTTTCCTAACTACTCGGGTGATTTTTTTTGTTTTTTTTTTATTATTTTTTTAAACGTACATACATTAAAGAACATATTGTATAATGTAAAGAAAATATTGTTCAAATTCAAAGAACATAATAATCAAACTTTAAGAATATATTATGCTCACGTTCTTTATAAATATCTATAATGTTCTTTTTTTCGCCCATGTTCTTTTAAATATATATAATGTTCTTTTCGAGTGCACCGGGTTCACCATCCATACATTATTTGCTTGGTTGTCGTTCGCTATAATTGTTGAATAAAATTTCAATTACACTCTCTATATGCTGAAATAATTCAATAAAATACAGCTAAGCAATGATTAGTACACTATATATTTACTGTTTTTAATTATGTGGGACGTACGTCTCTATTCATAAAAAATCAAATTAAACGGCTAATTATGTATGTTTATAAATTAAATTAACAAAGTAGAACCCATCTTTGTCCTCTTATGATTATTTTAGAATTTGTTGACTAGAACATCAACACATTAAAAAAAATCTAAAATTTTACTAATAAATGACAATAATAATAAAAAATCATATAATATCTAGAAGTGTCAATTTAGATGTTTGAATTGGCTTCGATTTCAGCGAGAGTTGAGTCAGGTCAATTTTTAAAGTTGATTCATACTAGAATATTTTGTCGAATTAAAATATGAATCGAATATTTTTCAAATCGAGTCGGGCCAGGTGTGATGTCATGTAACTCTAATATAATAAATTATCTTTTAAAGTTAAATTAATGAGTTAAAATACAATGTTAGAAGAAGACTATTCTTAATTTGGCTTACCTTTACCTTTCTGCTACTACAGTCTACAAAGTACATATTACATAATACACCCTCAGCCAAAAACCAAGGGAACCATATCATTCCTATATCATGATACTACTACTCATCTTCCTTGCAACAATCTCTCTTATCTTCCTTCTTCGAAAACAAAGGAAGAATGAACCATTTAATCCTCCTCCGGGACCTAAAGGGCTTCCTATTATCGGAAACTTACATCAGTTCGACCCTTCAAAACCTCACATCTACTTTGCTAAGTTAGCAAAGATTTACGGTCCAATCTTGTCTACACGATTCGGAAGTGCACCAGCTGTGGTGGTTCAATCAGCCAAGACGGCGAAAGAGGTCCTTCATACACAGGATCTTAACTTTTGTTACCGCCCATCAATGATCGCAACACAAAGACTAAGTTATAAAGGGTTAGACTTAGCTTTTGCCCATAGTTATGGATACTTCAGAGAAATAAAGAAAATATGTGTTGTACATCTTCTTAGTTCGAAAAGAGTGGAATCTTTTACTCCGATTCGACAAGAAGAAGTCTTGAGGATGGTAAACAAGATTTCTACTCAAATTTCATCTGGTTTAGAAACAGTTAACTTGAGCGAGTTGTTAATGAGTTTTGCAAGCTCCAATATATGCAGAATTGCTTTTGGCAAGAGGTATGTATTAGTATATTACTGCTTATAATTAGTAATGTCCTTTTGATTTGAAATTTGTTGAACTGTACAGAATCATCATGTCTACTACGACTAAATTAAGTTTACTTAACTATATATTAGTGTACTTACTCCTCTGTTTTGCAAATTAAGTGGTATAATATAGTACTTCCTCCGTTTCTAATTAGTTGACGCGTCTGATTTAGACACATATATTAAGGAGAGGAGAGAGAGTAAGAGAGAATGAAAAATAAGTGGGGTAGCTTGTAAATACAAGGTAAAAACTTTACCTCAAAAGGAAACGTCGTTTCAACTAAAAATAAATTTCCTAAAAGGGAATACGTGTCAACTAAAAAGAAATTGAGGTAGTATGTGTTAAATTTTGACTAATTGTGATGATATATACTTGAGCCAAAATATAGTCATGTGGAATTTGGTTAGAAAGAGAAGTGTTACACACACACAAAACACCCAAGGAAGTATTATATAATTCTCCCTCCGTTCTGGTTTATAGTTTCTATTTGTGTATTTTTAAGATATTTAAGAAATTGAAGGAGAAAGTGGATGAACTACATTTAAAAAAATGAGAAGTACAATTATAGATAAAATTTAACTAGAGAAAGTGGGAAAAAAAGTATAAGACAGGTGGAAAATTCAAAGGTATTTAAAAACCAATGATTTAAAAATCAATGAAGAATGTTTTTTTAAAAAAGCTATAATTGTCTTACGTACCATCTAAAAATGGAAACGAGAACAACATTTTAGATTTTCAAAATAGAAAACTGGAACTATATAATGCTGTGAGACAGAAGGAGTACTAATAATAAAAAAAAAGGGCAATTTGGTAATCTTATAATATGTCTATGTTTTGTCAGATTCATCAACTCTCTAATTCAATATTGTGCATGTCATGAGGAGTGAGGATATGGAGGGATGGTTAATTGGTTAGTCCCTCCACCCCCCCGATGTAATGGGGGTTTGACTCCTCACAGACCCCATTCCGGTAATATCATAATAATATATATAGTCTACCGTTAAAAAAAAAGTTATGCATGTCATTTACCCTAAGTCCTCAGATAATATATACAATATAATACTTTGTAAATTTGTTAGGGTAATGTTAAAGAGAAAATTACTTCGTATCCCGACTTTTATGTGTTATTTTTAAAAAATGACAATAGTTACATTTAAAATGGTGTTCCGTATTGTGAAAATTTATAGAATAGATGTATGAGGAAGAATAGATGTATGAGCAATTGAGGATTGAGGATGTAACAGTGAATAAAACAAGGTTATTACAATATCATAATAAAATTTTTAATTTAATAAACAATAATTACGGACGACTAAGCAAAAAATTGAATTTTATCTAATTAATAATCACAAAAAAATTGATTATAATTCCATCTCGGTTTACTACTTTAATATCAAATGTTTATATTTTTTTTAACATATTAGTAATTTAATTACTATTAATTATTGATTGAAATAATGTCTAGACAAGTGTGAAAGTTGCAAGTAAAAAAAAAAGGTATATAATTCATTAAATTTATATTTTTATCACATTTTTACAACTTCAGTACTAAACCAAAAATAAATAAATCATTAATCCATTAAGGCTTATATCAATAATTAAACAAAAAAAAAACAAAAACAAAAAAAAAACACGTACAAACTACTAATAAATTTGCACCTATCATACAGGTCATTGTCCAAACAATTGATCTTTTAGAAATCAATATAAATCAATGGACTACTAATTAATTTGCTTTTTTTTTTAAGATAATAAGAACTTCATAAATAAAGAGCAAATTACAATCTAAGAGAGCTAAAAGTAACTAAAAACAAGCTAACACACCAAACTAAACACACTTACTATAAACAAGCAACCATGTGTTATGTGGCTGAGGACCAAGATACGGATTAGTGATGAAGGCCACCAATTGCATAACACCGAACCGGTAAAACCAAGAGAAACTTACAAAATCTTATTGTGGACCAGGAATTGCCAACTTAACCGAAAGAATTGAGATGATTAAGTGATGAGAACTTAATCATTAATTTGCTATTTAAAATACATAGATAGTACGGAGTGTTGCATAGTCGCATAGGTAGTTACAAGAAAAACCTTAAAACCGTACCATAAGCCAAATTAAAAGTACCATTAAAATCCATATAACATGATAGTACTACTTATCTTCCTTACAATAATCGGTTTTATCTACCTTCTTAGAAAACGAAGGAAGAATGAACCATTTAATCCTCTTCCTGGACCTAAAGGGCTTCCTATTATCGGAAACTTACACCAGTTCAACCCTTTAAAACCTCATATCTATTTTGCTAAGTTAGCAAAGATTTACGGTCCAATCTTGACTACACGATTTGGAAGTACACCAGCTGTAGTGGTTCAATCAGCCAAGACGGCGAAAGAGGTCCTTCATACACAGGATCTTAACTTTTGTTACCGCCCATCAACTATAGCAACACAAAGACTAAGTTATAAAGGGTTAGACATAACTTTTGCCCAAAGTTATGGATACTTTAGAGAAATAAAGAAAATATGTGTTGTTCATCTATTTAGTTCTAAAAGAGTGGAGTCTTTTACTCCGATTCGACAAGAAGTCTTGAGGATGGTAAATAAGATTTCTACTCAAATTTCTTCGTTTTCTGGTTTAGAAATTGTTAACTTGAGCGAGTTGTTAATGAGTTTTGCAAGCTCCAATATTTGCAGAATTGCCTTTGGCAAGAGGTATGTATTAGTGAATTACTATTTGTAATTATGACCTGATTAAATTTTGTTAAACCGTAGTACTAAGAATGATCATTATAATCTGAGAGTGAGGTATAGCTCAAGTAGTTAGAGCTTCCCTCTCGATTTCAGGAGATTTTGGGATCGATTCTCATCCCCGCCCTCTGTGGCTCTCTAAACACCAAAAAATGATCATTAGTCTACTACGACTAAATTAAGTTTACATAACTAGTACTGCACTTACTCCTCTGTTTTGCAAATTAAGTGGAATATTCATAAACGATGTTTGACCATGTGTACAAACAAGTAATAAATTGTTGAATCTTCTTTGGCAATAATTTCTAAGGACAAAAAATTTCTCATTCACACATTATATAAATTAAAGATCCACTCGATCATCATTCCCATTAACTATGATAAAGAAACCCCTACGTCTTATTATCAATTACGAAGTAACGCTGCACCACTCAAACTAATGTCTAGTTCGCACAGGCGTATGTATCATGCATAAATTTTAAGTGATAAAAACATATTGTTTAACTATAATGAACACCATAATTTGTGAGCGTCTATTCATGCACATGATACATCTATTCAAAAAAATAAAATAGAGCATATTACATAAATGTAAACAACATAAATTTAAAGTGATAAAAACATATTGTTTAACTATAATGAACACGATAATTTGTGAGCTTCTATTATAAATAAGTAAAATATAATTCAAATAAGTAAAATTTAATTACTACTCCATATTATTTTTTACCTCATATTTAATACTAACCTCCCTTTTTTTATTAGTTGACACGTTGATTTTAGTACTATTCACATACATTCCTTTGACTTTGTTTTGTGATTTATATGCAAGTAAAAATATAGTCAAGTGGTATCTTGTTGGATTCGTCATAATATATATTTTCAAAATATCAACTTTTTTATTAATTTTGCTAATCGGTAATTAAAGATATTAATGATTTAATTTGTGCACTAACAAATATGAATAAAAAATCGTGTCAATTAAAAGGAAACAGAGGAAGTATTATTTTTTTAATAAATAAAAAATTCAATTTCTCATAAAATTCTCTCTTATTTTCAAGATTGCAACTATAATATGTAAGCTTTCATTTTCAAAATTCAAATTTTATTTTCAAAATTTGTCAGTTGATCATGCAAGTTAAATTAAAATAATATTCATTAGAAATGTTATCATGATCTTTATTAATATATAATAGTTTTGCTTTTAATTTTGTTATAATAATATATGACGTATGTGATAGAGTATATAAACCGATCTTGGGCTTTAACCATCAGCTTAATCTTTTAATTAAGTTGGTCCGTTAACCATATGTCTTAACGATTGATTGTCAAGTGTATTCCTTGTTGTAATGTTCTTTATATTGTTAAATAATGTACTTTTAATCAGAAAACATGTACTTTATATTTGTATGTGACAATTAATTAATAACCACTATATTCTTTCCATATGTTCAATAATATGTCACAAAGTACCTTATAGTTTGATTCAAATGTATCACAGGTATGGTGAAAATGAAGGGTCCAACAGAAGCAGATTTCACAACCTTCTGAATGATGCTCAGGCCATGTTTACAGCCTTCTTCTTTACGGATTACTTCCCTTCCATCGGCTGGCTCGATAAGCTAACCGGACAATCATCAAGGCTTGAGAAGACGTTCAAAGATTTGGATGTGTTTTATGATGAAATCATTAACGACCATCTTGACCCGAATCGCCCTGTATCTGAGACAGAGGACATCATTGATGTTTTGCTACACCTTAGAAAAGAGCGTGCCTTTACCTTTGATCTGACTTTAGACCACATTAAAGGAGTTCTTATGGTAATTCATTAAGTTCATGTCTTACAAATTTAATCTTTGTAATATAATGTTTTTATATTAAATGGTTCTGAATTTATGTTTCATAGAACATGTTTGTAGCAGGGACAGACACAAGCGCAGCCATGGTAGTTTGGGCGATGACAGAACTAATTAAGAACCCAACCGCGATGAAGAAAGTACAAAAAGAGCTTAGAGGTTTAGCAGGCAATCACAAGGGTTATGTATCAGCAGATGATCTGCCAAAGCTCGAGTATTTTAAAGCCGTCATTAAAGAAACATTAAGGTTCCGTCCTGCAGCTCCAGTACTAATAGTCAGGGAAACACTCGAAAAATGCACTATAGAAGGGTATGATATACTACCAAAGACCCTCGTCTTTGTAAATGCATGGACTATTGGAAGAGATCCTGAATATTGGAAGGACCCGGAAGTATTCATGCCTGAGAGGTTTATGGGAAGTTCAATCGATTATAAAGGGCAGGATTTCGAGTTTATTCCTTTTGGTGCTGGAAGAAAAATGTGTCCTGGAATGCTTCTTGGTGTTTCAAACTTTGAGCTAGCATTAGCCAACTTATTATTCTCTTTTGACTGGGAATTACCTGATGGTATAAAAATGGAAGATATTGACACTGATACACTGCCTGGTGTAACTATGCACAAGAAAAATCCACTTTGCCTTGTTGCAAGGAAATATACATAGTTTCTAATCTTTCTGTAAGCTTGATAATCTTAATGATTCATGTTCATCTTCTGAGAATGATATATGTGTTACATGTTCCTCATCAATTATTTAAGTTGTACATTTTTTTTGTGAATGTGTCACAACTTATTAATGATAACTTATATTATTGTAACTTTGTAAGATTATTAATGATATGATGGACTGTTAAGAATTATTAGTTTACAAGATATAAGCACGTCTGTTGCACATGTAAAAAAAAAAATATAAAAAATTATTAAATCTCTATCAATGAAGGAATTTGTTATTTGTTGATGTATTTTTTTTTTGAAGCCATGTTGATGTATTTAAGTAACACTTGAGTTTGTTAAAAAATCAAATAATTTGAAAATTAATTTTTTCATTTGTATGAGATTGAAATCTCAAATTTAAGTATGTATCTTATCCATCAATCATTTTTACATCACAAAATTTTGTTTTATTTAAAAATAAGATTCATAAACTACATAAATTTTAATTGATTAAAATATAAAATTAATCAACAAATACATGGAGAAATGTTTATAAGAAAATTAATTTAATTATCTTAAACATAATTTGATAAAAATTTTAGAATAAAATTCAATTAAGTATTTGGACATTACCGGAAACAAAACTATAGAATTAAAAGTTATACTCCCTTCGTCATTTTATTAGAATCTCATTTCTCTTTATTATATGAGTAATAATTACATTAATAATCCACATAGCTATTACTACATGGCGGCGCTGCCATGACTAACTTGTTAATCATCAACTCTCCAATTTGTATATACTTTTTGTCTTCTTTCTAATCAACATGATTACGTTTCTTATTTTGATTATTTTAAATAAGTTAAAAAACAAAATTAGAATTGAAGTAGACTGTTCTAAAATTTTTGGACCTTTATAGTAAATCATACATTTTTAAAAAAATATACCAAAAAAAAAAATCCAAATTAAATATAATAAACAAATATTATAAATAAAACTTGTAGCTTTTTAAACTTTGTATTCACTCCAAAGTCTTAAGTATTATAGAACGGACGAAGTATTATATATAGAGTGTGTATATAGAAAACACAACATAAGCCAAAACCAAGGAGATCATTTAGCATGATACTACCACTCATCTTCCTTGCAACAATCTCTCTTATCTTTCTTCTTCGAAAACGAAGGAAGAATGAACCATTTAATCCTCCTCCTGGACCTAAAGGGCTTCCTATTATCGGAAACTTACACCAGTTCGACCCTTCAAAACCTCACATCTACTTTGCTAATTTAGCAAAGATTTACGGTCCAATCTTGACTACACGATTTGGAAGTGCACCGGCTGTGGTGGTTCAATCAGCCAAGGCGGCGAAAGAGGTCCTTCATACACAGGATCTTAACTTTTGTTACCGCCCATCAATGATTGCAACACAAAGACTAAGTTATAAAGGGTTAGACTTAGCTTTTGCCCATAGTTATGCATACTTCAGAGAAATAAAGAAAATATGTGTTGTACATCTTCTTAGTTCTAAAAGAGTGGAGTCTTTTACTCTGATTCGACAAGAGGAAGTCTTGAGGATGGTAAACAAGATTTCTACTCAAATTTCATCTGGTTTAGAAACTGTTAACTTGAGTGAGTTGCTAATGAGTTTTGCATGCTCCAATATATGCAGAATTGCTTTTGGCAAGAGGTATGTATTAATTAGTGTATTACTAATACTAATTAACAACCTTTTGATTTGAATTTGTCAAAATGTATTAGAATTAATATCATATCTCATTAAACTAAGTAGCCCTGCTTGCTTCATTGTGTCATATATATATATACAAGTAATAATGTTGAGCAAAGTAACTTATATGAAATTTATCACAGGTACGATGAAAATGAAGGGTCCAACAGAAGCAGATTTCAAGACCTTCTAAAGGATGTTCAGGCCATGTTCGCGGCCTTCTTCTTTAAAGATTATTTCCCTTTCATCGGCTGGCTTGATAAGCTAACCGGAGAATCATCGAGGCTTGAGAAGACGTTCAAAGATTTGGATGTGTTTTATGATGAAATCATTAGCGACCATCTTGATCCGAATCGACCTGAATCTGAGGCAGAGGACTTGATTGATGTTTTATTACACCTTAGAAAAGAGCGTGCTTTTACCTTTGATCTCACTTTAGACCACATCAAAGGAGTTCTTATGGTAATTAAGTTCTTGTCTTACAATATTTTTTTGGTTCAATGACAGAGTTTAACGACGATTTATGTTAGCAGATCCCAAATTAATTTGAGACTAAGGCTTTTGTTGTGGTTGTACAGCTTGTAAACTTACTGGTTCTGAAAATGAGTTGCACAGAATATGTTCGTAGGAGGGTCTGATACAAACTCAGCAATGGTAGTTTGGGCGATGACAGAACTAATTAAGAGCCCAACCGCGATGAAGAAAGTACAAAAAGAAATTCGGGATTCAGCAAGAAACAAGGATTATATATCAACAGATGATCTGCCAAAGCTCGAGTATTTTAAAGCCGTGATCAAAGAAACATTAAGGCTCCGTCCTCCAGTTCCAATGCTAATAGTCAGGGACACACTCGAAAAATGCACTATAGAAGGGTACGACATACTACCAAAAACCTTCGTTTTTGTTGATGTATGGACTATCGGAAGAGATCCTGAATATTGGAAGAACCCAGATATATTTATGCCGGAGAGGTTTATGGGAAGTTCAATTGATTATAAAGGACAGAATTTCGAGTTTATTCCTTTTAGTGCTGGGAGAAGAATGTGCCCTGGAATTTTTCTTGCTGTTGCAAACTTTGAGCTAGCACTAGCCAACTTATTGTTCTCTTTTGACTGGGAATTGCCTGCGGGTATGAAAATTGAAGATGTTGACACTGATACACTTCCTGGTTTGACTATGAATAAGAAAAATCCACTTTGCCTTGTGGCAAGGAAATATACTAGCTTTTAAATTTTCTATGCAATGAGTTTGTTCTTAATGATTTACTTGTCTTTTGAGATTTAGAGAATGAATGATAATGTGTGTTAAATGTGTCCCTTATCAATAATTTCATTTATATATACGTATGTACGTGTGTCACGTAAATTATTAATTATAGTTCGAGTTTGATGTCAGACTGGTAGTGAGTTATTATGCATGATATGATGATCATGAGATAATGTCCATCCTACCTTGAGCTATCTTTGGGAAAATTCCCTGTTTCTCATAGGAGCATTTTCGTGAATTAATCAATAACTTTTTCATTATTGTAATGTAACATGGAATGAATACGGAATGAATCAATGTTAAATGATTTCTATACTCTTCTTCTCTCCTTTGAATTCCATGTTTCTTTTATTTCGACACAATTACTTGGTGAGTTATTAATACCCTTTACAATTTTTGTTATGCTAAAATCAAGTGCAAAATAGAGATTTAGGTAAATGCTCCGCCCCACAATTGGTTTAGAGAGTATGCCGAGTGACAATGTTATTGAATCATGTGAATGCTGGGGAATTCCCTATTTTTCATGGTGAGAAACGAAATTTGTTTCCCATGAGGGCATGTTCGTGAATAAATCAACAACTTTTTCATTATTGTGGGCTCCACAGTTGAATAAAGTTGTTGGTTTATTAATGTCATGTGAAAATCAAAATTTATTTCTCGCCATAAAAAACCGAGGCATACTCTGTGAATGTTTTCGTTCTTTCATGATCATATCCATACTAGATTAATTTTGATAATGTCGTACAACATCAAGGTATCACGTGGATAAAAGATGGCCACTCACATTTCATGTAACGCAACTTGTAATATATTGTGATATGGAGATTGCAGAAGAATTTTTTTTTTTTATATACACAATATTGATCATAAGCTTCAATTCAGTCTATTATCTATTATAATTAGTACAATTAACCCTATTACAATAAAATCATGTTGATAATAATATCTTTTCTAGCAATTTTATCCCTAGTAATACTTTTCCTTCTTCCAAACCGCAAAAAAAAAAGAGCCATTTCATCCTCCCCCGGGACCTAAAGGGATCCCCTTCATCGGAAACCTACACCAATTCGACACCTCGAAACCACACGTCTACTTTGCCGAGCTAGCCAAGACCTACGGCCCGATCTTGAGCTTACAATTTGGACGTGTACCGGTTGTTGTGGTGCAATCAGCCAAGTTAGCAAGGGAGGTCTTACACACACAAGACCTTAACTTTTGTAGTAGACCGTCTATGGTTGGAATTCAAAGGTTAAGTTATAATGGATTAGACATAGCTTTTGCCCCTTATAATGAGTATCAAATAAAAATTAAAAAGATTAGTATTGTTCATCTTCTTAGCTCTAAAAGAGTCCAATCTTTTGCTCCAATTCGTCAAGAAGAAGTATCAAGAATGATCGAGAAGATTTCATCCCTCTCCGAAGCTTCAGAAATCGTAAATTTGACTGAGTTCCTAGCGAACTTTGCAAGATTGAATGTTTGTAGGACTGCATTTGGAAAGAGGTATTACATCAAACTCCCTAATAATTTAACATTTTATTGACCAAAAATGCTTACAAAAATTGTGCATGTTTATGAAAAACTATTACTTCGTAATATTTTGTATTATATGCGTGGCATTAAATTATATTGGTGGAGTTTTGAGAGTATGTATCAATGTGACAATGTATGATTTCTATAATCTATCTAACTTGTTTCGTGTAAGCTTAGAAAAATATAGGATTATTGAATTTGTTTAGAGATAAGCCTTATCCTATTTTAATCCACACAAAAGGTAGTAAAAGAAAATGGAGGGAAATAAAAGGCATAATTTAGGCATTATTCTAGAGGCCATTATGGGTTGGACTAAAGATGGCCCGTATCAGTATCACGTGTTTTGGGGTTAGTTAGGCGGTTAGGCCTGACTCATGGCTCGGCCCATGAGTTTTGTGTCGTGCCGTACCCAGTCGAAGTTTTCAACGTGCACAGCCCAGGCCCACATGCCATCTTGTCGCGCTTGCATGTCTAAGCAAAATTACATTAATTATAGCTTGCTTTGTTGTCCCCGGTATTAACGTGATTCTCCCAAATATACACATGGTACCGTGTCGTGCTTTTTTCCTTTAGCCCGGCCCAATTTCATCTTTAGGTTGACCTTGGCAAATAAAATGATCCATTTGTGGCAAAGGAGTCCGATTGAAAAATGCAATTTTATAAGTACTTACTAAAGTATTACTCCGTATCATAATACATTTTAATTTGCATAAAAGTCAACTACTTCGTATACGTATGATATGGGCCCGGACGACATTTGGAGTCAAAACTTACAATATTAAAAAATTAAATTTATTTTATTACATATCAAATTCATATTATCCTTTATTAATTTTTTTGTTAAAAATGATATGTAATATGATCAATAGTACTATATCTCTAGCATAAATTGGATGGCATGCATGGATTGAGACTCGATTCAAAAGGAGAATGCCTCATGACTCATAAACTAGTTTATGAACTTAATATCAAAACCAACAAGTAGTCTAGTAGTAATGAGAGTGAGGGATAACTCAAGTGGTTAGAGCTCCCCTCCCGGTTCCAAGAGATCTTGGGATCAATTCTCATCACCCGCCCTTGTGGCTCTCTAAACACCAAAAGTAGTCTAGTAGTAAGAATTGTATTTCTAATGGGTAAAGTAAACATGACTGTTATATGTGTGCCTCGAATGCTCCATGTTGATATATGCTTTAGTATTATGGTGTTTGGGGCTTTAAGCAAAGAAGCATGGAAAGGGCTGACTTAAAATGAGCATATCTCAAGATCTAGAAGTGATATTGAGATGATTCAAGTTGGAGGTGATAGCTCTTCTTCAAGTTGGGTGCAAGTGGGTGTACAAGAAGAAAGAAGGTACACCGGAATCGGGCGGTCCTATCTACAAGGCAAGAGTTGTTGCAAAGGGTTTCACGCAAATTGAAGGCATTGACTTTCATGAAGTTTTCTCACCGGTTGTGAAACACTCATCCATAAGGGTGTTGCTTGCCTTGGTAGCTATTGAAGACTTGGAGCTACACCAACTTGATGTGAAGACCGCATTTCTCCATGGTGAATTGGAGGAAGAAATCTACATGAGACAACCGGAAGGGTTTGAGGTGGTTGGAAAGGAAGATCATGTATGCCGTCTTGTGAAGTCCTTGTATGGTTTGAAGCAATCTCCAAGGCAATGGTACAAACGATTTGATTCGTTCATGTTGGCACATGAGTTCACAAGGAGTTCATTTGATAGTTGTGTTTACTTCAAAGAACTTGAAGGTGGTTCCTTTATATACTTACTCTTATATGTAGATGATATGTTGGTGGCTTGCAAGAATATGATTGAGGTTAACAACTTGAAAAGGTTGTTGAGTAGTGAGTTTGATATGAAAGATCTTGGTGAAGCCAAAAAGATTCTTGGTATGGAGATCATTCGTGATAGGAGTGCGGATGTGTTGTATCTTAGTCAAAGAAGATACATAGAGAAGGTGCTTGAGCGTTTCTCCATGATGCATGCAAAACCCGTGTCCACTCCATTGGGTTCTCACTTTAAGCTCTCAAAAGAGCTTTGTCCTCAATCCAAAGAAGAAGAGAAAGATATGGCTCACATTCCGTACATAAGTGCGGTTGGAAGTGTGATGTATGCCATGGTATGTTCAAGACCGGATATAGCTCATGCGGTGAGCATGGTGAGCCGGTATATGTCAAGACCGGGAAAGGTCCATTGGGAAGCCGTGAAGTGGTTGTTGAGGTACTTGAAAGGAACCTCAAACGTTTGCCTTGAATTTGGAAGGGATGCAAACGGACTTTTTGGCTATTGTGATTCGGATTATGGAGGAGACTTGGATGATCGGAAATCTACATCCGCTTATGTTTTTACTTTGGGTGGTACGGCCGTGAGTTGGCAATCTTCGCTACAAGATGTTGTAGCTCTTTCAACTACGGAAGCCGAGTTCATGGCCATTACCGAGGCATTCAAGGAAGCAAAGTGGCTTAAGGGTCTAGTGGGTGAGTTTAGTTCATATTCAAGCTTGGTGTCTGTTTTTGGTGATAGCCAAAGTGCAATTTACTTAGCAAAGAACCAAAACACATTTTATAAACGAACCAAGCACATTGATGTTAAGTACAACTTCGTTCGAGATGTGATTGCAAAGAAAGAGTTACTCTTGAAAAAGATTGGTACCGAGGAGAATCCCGCGGACATGTTGACAAAATCTTTGCCTACAACTAAGTTCACTTTGTGTGTGGACTTAGTTGGTCTCTCTTTATGTTCGCTGTAAGCCCTTAAAGGGCTTGTTTGGGGATGGAGCTTCATTGTTGATGATTACTAGTTAAGAGGAAGTGTGGAGGATTGCGAGTCAAGGTGGAGAATTGTTATATGTGTGCCTCGAATGCTTCATGTTAATATATGCTTTAGTATTATGGTGTTTGGGGCTTTAAGCAAAGAAGCATGGAAAGGGCTGACTTAAAATGAGCATATCTCAAGATCTAGAAGTGATATTGAGATGATTCAAGTTGGAGGTGATAGCTCTTCTCAAGATCTTTCCAACGACTGGTCATAAGCTTGATTTGGTTAAGAATCGAGGGAGTTGTGACTGTTTAAAGAAGTGCTGTCCGCGCAGGAGGAGTTCGACCGAACCATTTAATAGGTTCGGTCGAACCTTTTGGCAGAACTGATGCTCTTTTCATTTCTAGAGTAGGTTCGGTCGAACCTATGGTGGTGTGACCGAACCGCACTAAGTTCGACCGAACTCTGGGTAGGTTCGGTCGAACCTTCGAGCCCCTGTTCCCGCGCTGCGATTTCTTCTTATTTTGCTCGGGATGTAATCTTAACCGTTGATTCATCTTGCACTATAAATACTCTTGTTTTTCATTGTAGATAGTATGAGAGAGAAACACAAGTGAGACTTAGACCTTAAATTAGCTCACCAAGAACACCATCTTTCTCCATTGTAATTCTTCCTCCATTAAAGAGTAATACAAGCTCCAATCTCCCCAAAAGTGGATGTAGCTCATTTTTGAGTGAACCACTATAAATCTTGTGTGTTTTATTTTGTTCATTTTTAATTGTTTTCTCATTTAGCTTTGCATTGTTCCTCAATCAAATTCAAAGTCCCAAAGAGGATCCTATTTCATAACAATGACGTTCAAAAATATATATATATATGGCATTTGTTCAAATTTGTATTTTTCAATTCAGGTACGAGGATGATGAAAGGTCAAGTAGCAGATTTCACAAGCTAATAAGAGAAGCAGAAGCCATGTTTACAACCTTCTTCTTTAGTGATTATTTTCCTTCTGTTATTGGGTGGCTTGATAAGCTAACCGGAAAATTCTCTAGACTTGAGAAGACATTTAAGGATTTAGATGCATTCTTTGAAGAAATCATTAATGATCATCTTGACCCAAACAAACCTAAATCCGAGCGAGAAGATATCGTTGATGTTCTACTCCAACTCATGAATGAACGCTCATTTGAGCTCACATTAGACCACATCAAAGCAGTTTTAATGGTAACATAAATATTTCATCTTGTACTTCATATTCTAGTCGTCTTTGGCATGAATACACCCTCAAATGTATTTTTCTTTCGTCTTTATAAATTTCATTGACATTTACGGCTTTAAAGTTAGTGATAAAACACATATTAGATAATGGAGATCCATTACTATATATTCTAGTATGAGACTCTCATAATAAAGTTACGTATTATTCTAACATTAATAATCTAGTTGTCTTGTCAAAAATACATTAATGTTGTTAATGTACTATGTGTTTTTTTTTTTTTTTTGGTTACATGCATTCTTATGAAATCACTCTAATGGTGGCAACTTGCTAAATCAAACCTTTTTGCAGGTCATATTAATAGCAGGAACGGATACAAGTTCAGCCATGGTAATTTGGGCAATGGCAGAGCTAATGAAAAATCCTATTTCAATGAAAAACGTACAAGAAGAGCTTCGTAATGTCATGCAACACAAGGGATGCATCAATAATAGTGACCTCGTAGGGCTTGAATACTTCAAGGCAGTAGTGAAAGAAACATTTAGGCTACAACCAGCAACACCGTTGTTAATTGTGCATGAAACAATTCGAAAAAGCACCATTGAAGGATATGATATATTACCTAAAACTTTGGTGTATGTAAATGCATGGGCTATTGGAAGAGATCCCGAAAATTGGTCAGATCCAGAAAAATTCATGCCAGAAAGGTTTTTGGGAAGTTCAATTGATTTCAAAGGATATGACTTTGAATTAATCCCATTTGGTGCAGGAAGAAGGATATGCCCTGGAATTCATCTTGGTGTAGCTAACATGGAATTAGCACTTGCAAATTTGTTGTACTATTTTGATTGGGAATTGCCTAGTGGTGTTAAGAAGGAAGACGTCGACAATGATACATTCCCAGGCATTACCATGCATAAGAAAAATCCATTATGCCTTTTGGCGAAAAAAATTAATAAAATTTAAAAACAAGTTACTAGTATAAAATGTAAGCATGAAGTATTATTGTAGGACATAATACAATTGTAGCCTGTTATATTAGATTTCATGCATGTACGATATATATAATTATATTCATACTACGTACTTCCTCTGTTCTTCTATTTCAATTTTTTTTTACCCAATACTAATATTTGAGTCAAACTTTGAAAGCTTTGTCTATAATTTCTTGTTATAAGAAATAATATAGTCATCTGTGATTTTGTTAGATTCTTCTCATTGTATATTTTGTTAATATAAAGTTTCATTATTTCTATCAATATAAAAATGGAGATATACACGTTTTAAGACATGTCTTTAAAGTTTAAAACCATGATGAAAAATTCAACTGGAACAAAAAAATTTAAGAAAGGAGAGAATACGTCTTATCACTCTTATGTAAAGATTGTAAACCAATAAAATAATAACTTTGATTGTAAATGGAGAAATATATAATTTCACCAATTTTAATAAAAGAGGGCTAGCAAAGTTGGATTTTAATAAAACTATTTTGTTGTTTATTTGTTGCTTTTTTTTTTAAATGTCAATTTTGGCTATTGGGACTATGTTCCAGCAAAGTGTAGTGGGTCTTATTATTATTTGACTAAAAATAATACGAAGTACTTTAATAATTGAACTATGAATCAAAAGGTTAGCTTTACATCAATTCTTGAGTTTATAAGTCAATTTAATCTGGAGACTTAATTACTTCAAGTTGTGGTCTAATTAACTCAAACAAAAGATTATTTATCATTCAAGTCAAATCACATTCAATCTCACCAAAATGATATGCTCAATTTCTTATGGTCAAACTCTAATAATGGTGACTCTAATATTTGGGGATGCCCCAGTTTTCTTATAGTGAGAAATAAAATTTGTTTCTTACATGGTATTTTTTATTCAATTGTATGTGGAGCAATATGAGAAATAGGGAATTTTCCTAAATATTTCCATTAAGATATATATATTTAATCGATCCCAGGACCTCCTAGGATCAGGAGGGAAGCTCTAACCACTTGAGCTATCCCTCGCTCTCATATATGTGTGTGTGTGTATATATATACATATACATATCACCGTTTTTTTGTTTTTTGTTTTTGCCTTTTTGTTTTCAAAAAAATAGATTGAAAAATAAAAACAAAAAAAAAAAACGATTTCAAACAAGCCCTAATTTTTTTAATTTAATTTTTTTTCTTGTATATATATTTATGCATGCATCATATGCATATAAGACAAGTTTTATATTTTTTTCATTTTCTTTTAAATGCAACACATTTTCTTGACATGCATTTTAAGGGATCAAGCAATATAAACTGACAAATTAATCAAAATAATTTATACATGCATATAGTATCTAACCTTTCTTCAATTTTAATATTCAAATTATATTGTAATAAAATCACTCATTTAGCTACTCTAATCAACTTTAACAAAAACGTGCCAAATTAAGGATTGTATCTTACAGATTATACATGTACTATAATAAAAGGGTAATGCTATATGCAGCCCTTAGGGCTGCATATAAGCATTTAATTACTTTCTTTTTTTAGTATTAAGTTGGGAATTTATAGACAATTCACGAGTAAATCGGTGTAATAAATGTTTATTAATTGTCAATTCTTTCCATTTTTAGCTTCTTATGTGCAGCCCTTATATCTTTTTCTTAAGAGGAAGGGTAATGCTATATGCAGTCCTTAGGGCTAAGGGCTGCATATAAGCATTTAATATACTTTCTTTTTTTAGTATTAAGTTGGGAATTTATAGACAATTTACGAGTAAATTGGTGTAATAAATGTTTATTAATTGTCAATTCTTTCATTTTCAGCTTGATATATAGCTTCTTATTTCGGTATTTCCCAACCGTAGACCAATATTTGCAATTATTGGTTGGACACACAGTGAGTGAGTGAGTGACACACATAAAGATAACACAATTTGAGACAAATTTTGGAACAAGACTAGCCCCACTAGCTACGCGGTTACGCCATAAGAAAACAAAACAATTACTCTTATTTATTATTGTTTGTGGAGTACAAAACTACTCATATTTGCAATGTGCTGAATTGTTGTGGTTGTACTATAGCTACGCGCCTACGCGGTTACTCAACTTGGTAATGTGCCATAAAACAATAAATAAAATTAAATTCAAAATTAATTAATAATACTTGTATAAATATCAAAATATGTGATCCAAATCGCAAGTTAGGGCTTTATACGCCAGCTACATACCAAGTATTTGTGGGGCTTTATACAAATAAGCGCATGTGATAAATTCGATGATAAGATATCATCACTCTTTAGATATATAAATATGTGATCCAAATACTCACTAACTATATATATATATGTCTCCCTTAGTTGCAAAATTCTAACTAATTACACATATAACACATTCATCAATATATAGTTGAACAATAGCAAGAAAAACAAAATATGTTATTCTTCCTCTTATTCATTGCATCAATTTCTCTCATTTATCTTCGTCTAAAATGCAAAAAAAATGAACATCTTAATCTACCACCCGGACCTAAAGGCCTTCCTATTATTGGAAACCTTCACCAATTTGATTCCATAAACCCTCATCTCTACTTTACCAAGCTAGGAAAAATGTATGGCCCTATCTTTAGTTTTCGAATTGGAAATCAATCGATGGTTGTGATACAATCAGCTAAGATGGCCAAAGAGGTGTTACAAATACAAGATAAAAACTTTTGTAACAGAAAAGTGTTGGTTGGTGGAAAAAGGCTAACTTACAATGGTTTAGATGTTGTTTTTGCTCCATATGGTGAGTATTATAGAGAAATTAAGAAGATTTTTGTGGTTCATCTACTAAGTTCCAAGAGAGTGAAGTCTTTTGCTCCAATTCGACACGAAGAAGTCTCAAGGACCATTCAAAAAATCTCATCCCTTTCGTCTGAAAATAAAGTTGTCAATTTGAGTGAATTGTTGTTTAATTGTGCATGTTCTACCATATGCAGGATTGCCTTTGGAAAACGGTACGTATCATACTCTTGCCCAAATTCACTAACAAATTTTATTCATTAGGAAGTGAACGCAAGTGCATGAATACATGATGTTAAATTGTCTATCATATATAAATGTAATTGTTTTCTTACGAAAAAATTCTTATGCCTCGCTCCACAGTTACGAGAATGATGATGGGACAAGGAGTAGATTCCATGACCTTTTGAATGAAGCTCAAGCTTTGATCGCCGGCTTCTTCTTTGCAGATTACTTCCCTTACACCGGCTGGCTTGATAAGCTAGCCGGAAAATATTCGAAACTTGAGAAAACATTCAAGAAATTCGAAGAGTTTTTTTGAAGAAGTCATTGATGAACATCTTGACGTAAGGAGGCCTAAATCTGATAGAGAAGACATGGTTGACATTCTTCTCCATCTCAAGAAAGAGCGTTTGTTTTCATTTGACCTCACTATGGATCACATTAAGGCAACATTAATGGTAAATATTCTTACTTTTGCTCATTTATATAATACTCTCTTCGTCTTATAATATTAAACACAGTTACTATAGAATATGCATTTATTAAAAAATGAAATGATAATATGGGCTCTCCATTTGGGCCTAGTGAAATCTTAAAACTAGGCCAATTACTATATGGTAATCCCATATTGGCCATATACACTGTACACATGCTAGCAATTTACTTGTACAATAACATTTACATGGTTCGATTAGGTCATAAATGGCAAGACATCATTCAAGTTATTTATATTTCAAAATAAATGTCTTTAATTAAAATTAAGTTATTCATATTTTAAAATAAAATGTGGCTTAGTCAACAATTTAGTTTTTTCATGAATTAAATGTTTAAAATGTACAGAGCATGTCTATATTATAAAGTATTAATTATTAAATATTTATAACTTCTCAGGATATCATATTAGCCGGAACAGACACCAATATAACTATGGTAATTTGGGCAATGACTATGTTATTGAAAAATCCCAATGCAATGAAGAAAGTTCAAGACGAGCTTAGGAATGAAATTCAAAACAAAGGGTTTATCGAAGAAGGTGATCTCTCAAATCTCAAATATTTCAAGGCAGTAGTTAAGGAAACATTCCGATTACACCCAGCAACTCCATTATTGATTCCACGAGAAACATTGCAAAATTGCACCATCGAAGGATATGATATTAAATCCAAGACTATGTTATATGTCAACTTATGGGCGATTAATAGAGATCCTAAAATTTGGAAAGACCCTGATTTATTTATGCCAGAAAGGTTTTTGGAATGTTCGATAAATTTCCTAGGACAAGATTTTGAGCTAATTCCTTTTGGAGCTGGAAGAAGAATATGTCCTGGCCTACATCTTGGTGTTGCTAGCTTGGATATTATGCTTGCCAATTTACTATATTTTTTTGATTGGGAACTGCCTATTGGTTTAAAGAGGGACGACATTGACACTGATGTGCAACTTGGAGTAACAATGCATAAGAAAAATCCTCTTTGTCTTTTAGCAAATAAACTAGTGTGTGATACAGGAAATAACAAAATAAAGTGAAATATATTGGTGGTTTTATAAAAATATTATCATTTGTTAAATTTTGTAAATATAATTGAACATCAAATATCATTGTTTAATATGCAATAATCTAAATGTTAAGTTGTACTATAGTTTGAATTATTTGTTAAATTGAACATCAGTTTGTATTATTTGTTGAAGGGATTTTTTTTTTATTAGAGAACGGAGATCCATTACTATAGTTTGTAGTATGAGACTCTCATAACAAAATTACACATTCTAACATTAATATGTTGGTGTGTACATCCTCTAAAAAAACTATCATTTTTTTTTTTGGCTATATGAATTCTTATGATGTCACTCTAATGGTGCCAACTCGCTAAACCTTTTACAGGTCATATTAATAGTAGGAACGGATACAAGTGCAGCCATGGTAATTTGGGTAATGCCGGAGCTCCGTAATGTCATGCAACACAAGGGATGCCGCATCAACAGTAATGACCTCATAGGACTTGAAAACTTCAAAGCAGTGGTGAAAGAAACATTTAGGCTACAGCCAGTAACTCCAATTCTATTGTGCATGAAACAATTCGAAAAAGCATCATTGAAGGGTATGATATATTAACAAAAACTTTAGCATATGTGAATGCATGGCCGCATGGGCTATTGGAAGAGATCTCG